AGCTACAGTGGTTTATCATGCACACATTCAAAAAGAACTTCCAACACCCAGCAAAGTAGAAATCGAACATCGTACCTCGGTAATACCTGATCCAATCTTTCCAGATGATCTGATATCAACAACCTTCTTCCTGTTCATGCATTGTCAAAATCAATTGCAGCAAACATAACAACGAAAGAAAATTAATAAGAAGTGAATAATTAAGGGAAACGCATTGCTTATGTTTTATGTTTCTTTTCATCGTTCTTGGCCTACGAAACTAGAGAAAAACTCGTCTTCAGATTGAAATTCCAAGTAAAAGGAAAAATACTGGTCCCAGCGAACTAAACAACATCCAAACCATATAACCTCAAAACCTTCTGATTATTTAAGATACAAATTTTATATCTAAGTGGTAGCTCGAAAATTAAAGTAACTACTGACTATAAATCAACGTGTTGGCTTTTTCGAAGTGAATCACGATAAGTGAATTAAATCCCGACTTACTCTAAAAATGGTTAAATAAAATATAAAAAATCCCACAAAATTATTGCCAGACAACAGCTTTAAACAGCATTTCACAGATATAAGCAGACGATGCTTACACAATTGGAATCGGTTTAATGACGCCGTACAGAGACTCGACAACTCCAGCTGATCCCCCGCGAACCTAAAAATTTCATGGATAATCGCTACATAAATCCTTTTAACATTTTTCAATCATTGGTGAATTTAGTAACAATACAGTTATAAAAAAATAAATTAACAATCAGCTAAAATCGATAACCTTTAGGGGGGGGGGGGGGGGGGGGGGGGGGGGGGGGAGGAAAACAAGCAAATATAGAACCTGCAAATTAACAGCGCCATTAACGGTGAGACGAATTGATTGGTAGGATATTGCAGAAGTTAGCCTCGCGATTAACTTGCCTTCCAGGATTTCCTTTCATTTTCAACAATTATTCAGCTCACATAAAAGATCAAATACATACATATAAGGATGATATTTCAATACAAACATTTAGAGAGAGAGAGAGAGAGAGAGAGAGAGAGAGAGAGAGAGAGAACGCACATCGGGGCGATAGATACGGTTGAATCGAGAGAGTTTGATCTCAATTGACATGACGATGACTGTATTGTATTGCTGCTATCATCAGCTCCTTTCCAGAAAAACACTTCAACTCCACTACTTGTATATTTTTAAAACTTAAAATTACTCATTAATAAGAGTCCATTTTACTAAGGCTCTGATTGGTTCAAGTAAAATGCTAAAGTAAAAAGTTGAAAGGTCGAAGTATTCTATTTTTCCTGTTTGGTGAAAGTGTAAAATAGTGAGTAATGTAATTCAAAGAAAATTGTGAAAAGAAATATAACTAGAAATCAGGAAATCTCATTTTCCTCAAAAATATTGAAGAAAATGAGGAAAAGCAATCGGGCATCCTTTCCCACTGGCCCATCTCATTCAATTATTGACCGTCTTTCACCACCTCCACGCCGGCTGTAGCAGCCGCCGCCACGCCACCAGCCCCTCCTCTGCCGTCTCCTCCACGCCGACCTCCGCCGCTCCTCCACGTCGACCTCTGCCTCCTCAACACCTGTAACAGCCGCCACCCACAACATCTCCGTATGCTTGAAAGAATATCAGATAGATAACGCCACATCGGCGCCGCCGGCTACCTCTCCGCCGCCGCCGGCAACTTCTCCATCTTCCATCGCTTGAGTATTTTCAGCAGGCCACTGTCTCTCTTCTTTCTCCTCTTTCTCTTATTTTTGTCTTCTCTCTTCTCTTTCTCATTTACTCTCTCCTCTCTCCTCAACTCTTCTCTCTCCTTCTGCCTCTCCCTCTTCTCTCTCTTCTCTCTCTTCTTCTCACACGCACTGCACTATTTTTTGTTTGTAATTTTTCTTTTCACTGTTTCTTCTTGAACCTTGCAGTTTATTATTCTTAATTTTTTTCTGGTAATTGATAATAGGTAGTAAAAATTGAAATTTAATTTAGTTTTTAGTAATAATTCATTGTTACTTTTATTTTACTTTGATAGTTTTCTCACCATTTTTCCTAGGAAACAAACAAAACTAAGAAAAATGATTTTCCATAAAATCATTTTCATAACTATTTTTCCAATGGAACAAATCACAATTGGGATTTCAAAAGTCCTTGATTTCCTTTTCCTTTGCATTTTCATTTTACTTATTTTGAAATCCATGAACCAATCAGAGCCTAAGGGTTTTAGGTGATTAAGCCAATTATTTTTTTGGGACAATTTGTTATAAGTTCTCTTATAAGACCAACTCCAATGGGTTATCAAATAGAGTATTCAAAAATTTACTTAAAAATAGAAATCTTCTCCAATGGAGTTATCAAATGAGGTTTCCATTTTAATAATTCACCATTTGGTTTGTAAAAATACTTCCTGGAAATTGATTTATCAAAAATGTAACCTCCTATACATCCAATCAGAAGTTGACACGTGGCAATTACAAATAAAACCACCCATAAACTTCCAATTGATAATTAATTTGATAACCATGGTTGGAGTAGATGAATTTTAAATTAATATTAAAATAATTTTCAAATATCAAATGAGTATTTGATAACTCAACTTTAATATCTAGCATTGGAGTTGCTCTAAGAGATTATATATGTATAAATCCAGTTAATAAGACCCAATTTTTAGTAAGTTTATTATTTTTAAAGTGTCAAAAGTACCCCAAACAATTTATAAAAAAAAAAAAAATCCCCTAAATAATATCCCACATTTTTCTCCTCCAATCAATTGACAACAAAATCTCACGACCGTTTCGGTAAATCTGAAATCGCAAATTCAACAAGTTTGCAAATTCTAGCGCTTGCCATAGGTTTAGTCATATAATCGTTTGCAATTTACAAATTTTCATTTGCTATTTGATCCAGGGAACCACGTTGCCATTTTTTCGTTTGTTATTTGTGCCCTCCATAATCCAAGTCATGACAGTGAAATAGTATATCTTGTTGCTCGTTCTCCGAAACACATTCTCACATCAATAAATTACTGCATTGTCTAAAAAGAAAAGGTTTTTCCCAAAAATAAAATTTCACATCATGCAAAAAATTTCTCCTTTGATGTAAATTAAGATCGGGTGGAAGTACTTGACTAGCTAAATAGTTCACAGAATCAGCAAACCAAGGTACTTCTTTATCAACAACAAGCAATTGTTCATTAGGGAAGCTTTCCTTAATGCAAAAATTCATTTTCATCCACTTAATTCTCAAGCCTAGATAAGTGATCGGCTATTTAATTTTCACTACCCTTTCGATCACGAATTTCGTTGTCAAATTCTTGTAACATTAAGATCCATCTAATAAGTCTAGGTTTTACATCTTTTATTTCAAATAAGTTTTTAAGAGCAAAGTGATCAGTAAACACAATAGTCTTAGGACCTAAAAGATAAGATCGAAACATTTCAAAGGCAAACACAACTGTTAGTAACTCTTTTTCCATAGTGGTGTAATTCGATTGAGCATCGTTAAGAGGTTTACTAGCATAATAAATTGACCGAAATTTTTTATCTCTCATAATTAATTGACCAAAATTTTTTATCTCTCCTTTAACCAAAGACAGCACCAACCGCATAATCACTAGCATCACACATAAGCTCAAACGGTTCATCCCAATTTGGCGTAGAAATAATAGGAGCCGACACTAACCTTTTCTTAAGCTCATTGAACGCTTGAAGACACTCACCGTCAAAATTTGACTTCCTCTCCTTCTCGAGTAGGTTGCATAATGTTGTGGCGATTTTTGAGAAATCTTTGATGAAACGCCGATAAAAGCCAGCATGCAGTAGAAAGCTCCGGATCTCTTTGACCGAATTGTTGCGATCTTGGCTCTATCCACCTCCAAGCCTTATCGAGACACCTTATGCCCAAGCACAATCTCTTCCTGCACAAAAATATAAAGACATTAATTTTGTAATGTTTTGTTGAGAAATTACAATCTTACCCCCACCTTTAGTACATGGAAAATACATGTGAATTTTAGTACTTAAAAATACTTCACATATTTGAGGGGAGGTTGTAATTACCCAAACAAGAGATGTTTTTTCGTAATTTGACCTTACCTCAAGGGGGTGGCCGTAATTTGCCATTGCATTTTGGTATGATGAAACCTTTTTTTGATCTAGGTGAGAAAAACTTCTGCAGTAAAAAACGATGTTAATCCTGAATGGAATGAAGAGATTACATTTCACGTTGATGATCCTAATCTTCCAGTTTACGTGGTGAGGCTCTTTAGATTAATGAAAATTGCCTTAATGGATTCATATAAAATGTGGATTGTATTTTCATTAACTGTGTATGTAGTAGGTATGGGTTCAGACAATGTATAACCATGACATAGATGAAAATATGGGACTATTATATACAATGTATTACGAAAAAATGGATGAAAAGATGGGAGCTGCGGAGTTTGATATGAGGCCAAATAGTAGAACACTATTGGATAAATCATCCGCATGGTCTTCCAGATGAGAACAACAATACTGCCTGTAGACTCCAATTGCTTAGCCGAAGAGAGTTCCGTTTTCTGGGAACACGGCATCATAATGCAGGACATGTGCCTCGGATCGAGAAATGTCGGTTCTAGCCAACTCCAACTTCATATCAGATATTCTTCTGGGGATTAATATATATCCATAGATGCAAAAATTTTAAATATTTGCGGTAGTGGTTGACAAAAGCCATATTTCAGGGATGTAGTTGTCAAATGGCAATAGTTCGATGAGGTGAGTACAATTTATATGTATATAATTTGGGGGTGTAAACTTATTGGAATTAGCCCTTTCATAAAAATACCTATTTTTTTCGGAAGTCCAAAATGGATTGCAGAAGTCAATATTTTTTCGGATATAAACGTGAAGTTTTCATTCACAGAGAACTTTAAATACGAAAAACCAAACAAAAGAAAGAAGGAAAGAAAGAAAAAATAAAACTATTAAAAGGAATCCACGATACGAAGAAACGAGACGTGACAACAAGATGTGGTCTATAAATATTCGTAGCCAGGAATATCAATCCACCGCAGCTGAAGTTTGACTAGGCCGGATTCGATATTTCTCAATCCGAGGCACATATCCTGCATTAGATTGTCATCCTTCCAGAAAATGAAACTCTCTTCGGACAGGCAATTCGAGCTTGAAGGCAATATTCTTGTGGTTATTGTACCGTTTGGTAGGCCATTTGGATGCATCTTAAACGCTTGTACAAATGGTCTAATATCAAACTCTGCGTCTCCCATCTTCTCATCCGCACTGAACATGTTTTTGTCGTACACTGCCTACAACCATACGTACACATAGAATCAACATATATGTATTACGGTTTCTAATAAAAAATATATTTCGGTTCCGTATATCGTTTTTTACCGAATTATTCGGTTCAGTACGGTTCGGTACCGGTAAAACCGAAATATATTTTCTTCTTTTAGAAAAGGTACAATAACAATTTAAACGAAATAATTCTTGAATTTGACATTCAAATTTCAATAGCCGGCCCTAAAAACATAAAGTGATTATCAATAGAGGTTAATTTGTAAATAATGGAAAACATTATCAATCTATTAAGTATTTTAGAATATTTTTATAACCTTAAAGGATTTAAAAAAAAATAAAAAAAAATAAATATATATTAAATATTTCAGTATTTGGTACGGTACGGTAGACCGGACACCAATACCGTATACCGTACCGAATATCGGAGTTCAAAAAAAAAATTACCAAATACCGAACCGAATTTTCATTAAGAAAGAGGCAGAAGATTCAAATCTTGAGATCACTAAAACTGCATTAGTTAATATTCAAACTCAAAACAATTGAAAAACAAAAATATCTGATTTTAGAAAGCTCAAATTTGTTCTTGATATATCAAACTGAATTTTCTTTTTTTTTAAAACTTGTATCTAGTCTAGAACTAGAAGGATCAATAGGACAACCTAATAATTTGTTTTAATTTTATCGCTAACGAAAGAGGCTCATCACGGAAACTGGTTGACTAGGATCTAAAACAGCTACCGTCAAATCGTCATGCCATTCGGGATTAACAGTCTTTGTAACAACATGAGTCTTCAAAATCTGCATCGCAATGATTTATAGTAAATTGCAATTCTGTTTAGAAAAACCTATAAGAAAACGAACAAGAGATAAATAAACAATACAACAAGTAAGAACACAAAACCTGTTTGGACATCCTGACAACAGCATAAGGATCTCTGCTGAGGCCATTGCCAAGAGCAAGATTGATACCTCTCTGCACAGAAATTCTGAGCAGTGCAAACACAGAACTTCGAATTTGAAGAGCGTCATATCCTAGGTTCTCTCTTTCCTCCGATACTTCCTTTACCGATGCCAATAGGGAATTTTTGCAGCGGTACAAGTCAATCACTTGAAGTGGTAATATTTCTGCAAAATCTGAAGGGATCTCCTTCAGGCTCACGGTTCCAAGATGTATTTGCTCACACTCATGAATCAACAAGTACTTGAGACGAGCAAATTCCCCTTCATTTGAAATCCACTTTGTTGGAAATGAATAAGCTAGATTCATTAATCAAGTTCAAAGTATTGAAGGTTCTAGAATTCATGAATGTGGAAGAATACATGAATGTGTCTTTTAGAGAGATTCATGTATAATGCTATGGAGGAAGAATATTATTAATTATGTGTTCATGTATTTGTTTAGATACATGCTAGGAAAATCCTATAAATAGTCTATGTAGTTTTTCATTTGTAGCAAGTCAAAAACAAGAAGAAGTATTTTAGAGAAAAACAAGAGAGTTCTTGAGTGAGTTTATATATTCGTGTTGATTGAGTGAGTAATATAATTTTATCTCCTCTCCACTACTCCTCCTCTCTATTTTAAGTTATTCTGCTGCGTGTTTTCGATCTATATTATTAAATCGATCCAACAAAGTGGCATCAGAGCCACGTCTTAATAGAAAAGATCGATGGCAACCACAAATGGAGCTTTCCCATTTCAAAAGCTTGCAAAAGAGAACTATGATCGATGGAGCATACAAATGAAAACTTTCCTTGGTGGACAAGACGTTTGGGAAGCCGTTGAAGAAGAATATATTGAACCGGAGAATTTGGCTTCGTTAAGGCAAGCCCAAAGGAAGATATCCAAAGAAGCCAAGGTGAAAGATCAAAGAGCGCTATCCATCATCCAACTCGGTGTAGATGATAGTAACTTTGAGAAAATTTCTCAAGCTACTACGGCGAAGCAAGCGTGGGATATTCTTAGCGATGCTTTCAAAGGTATTGATAAGGTGAAGAAGGTACGACTCCAATAACTTCGTGGAGAGTTCGAGTCATTGAAGATGAAAGACTCCGAAGATGTTTCCGACTACGTCTCAAGGGTGGTTTCGATCGTCAACCAACTTGAAAGAAATGGTGAAACAATGGAAGAGAGAAGAGTGGTCGAAAAAATACTTCGATCCCTTGATCCTAAGTTCGACTACATTGTCGTGGCAATTGAAGAGTCAAACGACGTTGAGAGTCTTAAAGTGAACGAGGTATTGGGCAAGTTACAAGTCCATGAGGAGAAGATCAAGAGGCGAAACAAAGGGCCCGAAGTTGAACAAGCCCTTCAAGCAAAGACGAACCTTGTCGACCGACCAAAATACGATGGTGCTCGATTTCGTGGCAGAGGTAGAGGCCGTGGTCGTGGACGCGGTCGTGGTCGTGGTCGTGGCAGAGGTCGTGAAGGACAATCCTCGCATGACAATGATGATACGAAGCAAGAGAATCGACCAACAAGAGGTCGTGGAAGAGGTGGATTCAATCGGCGTCAAGACAAGAAAGATGTTGAATGTTACAATTGTCACAAATATGGACACTATGCTTGGGAGTGTCGAAATGAGTCAAATGATGAAAAGACTCATTATGTTGAAGCAACAGAAAAGCAAGTTGCCGAGCTATCCCTAATGGCGTGTAAAGAATCGACGGAGGAGAAAGATTGCTCGTGGTACCTTGATTCGGGTGCGAGCAACCACATGTGCGGGAACAAACACATGTTTGTAGAGATCGATGAGTCCGTGACGGGAAATATCTCATTTGGAGATATGTCGAAGATTACCATCAAAGGTAAAGGGCGAATACTCTTCAAATTGAAAAGTGGAGCACACCAATTCATCGAGAATGTTTACTATGTGCCGGGAATGAAGACAAACATTCTAAGTATTGGCCAGCTGCTAGAGAAAGGATACGACGTCCATATGAAGGGTCGTAACCTATACTTGAAGAATAGTCAAGGTACGTTGATAGCTACTATTCCAATGACAAGCAATCGGATGTTCTTATTGAATATCTATCACGATATGGCGAAGTGCTTAAAGGCGTGTTACGAGGATCCATCTTGGCTATGGCATTTGAGGCTAGGCCATATCAACTTTGGTGGACTAAAGATGATGTCCAAGAAGAAGGTGGTGAAGGGACTACCATCAATTGATCATCCCGATCAAGTATGTCAAGGATGTATTGCCGGAAAACAATCTCGACTAAGTTTTCCAAAGGAGTCTTTGTCAAGAGCAACGCAACCGTTGGAGTTGATCCATACGGATATATGCGGTCCGATTGAACCTACATCACTAGGGGAGAATCGCTATTTTCTGACTTTCATTGATGATTATAGTCGAAAAACATGGGTTTATTTTTTGAAGCAAAAATCGGAGGCATTCTCAAACTTTAAAAGGTTCAAAGCTCTTGTCGAGAAGCAAAGCGGCTATCACATTAAGGCGATGAGATCTGATCGTGGAGGTGAATTCACTTCAAGTGAGTTCAAGAAGTTTTGTGATGAACACGGTATTCGTAGACCTCTCACCGTTGCATACTCACCCCAGCAAAACGGTGTCGCAGAGAGGAAGAATCGATCCATTATGAACATGGTTCGATGCATGTTGAAGTCCAAACAATTGCCGAAGGAGTTTTGGGCAGAAGCCGTTGATTGTGCTGTGTATCTATCAAACCGGAGTTCGACGAGGAGTGTTTTTGAGAAAACACCACAAGAGGCTTGGAGTGGATTCAAGCCTAGCATAGCACATTTGAGAATGTTTGGGAGTATTGCCCATATGCATGTTCCGGACCAACAACGAAAGAAACTTGACGACAAAAGCCAAAAGTATATTTTTGTGGGCTATGATCAAGCTGCAAAAGGATACAAGTTGTATGATCCTGTTGAGAATAAGAGTAAAATCAGTCGAGACGTTGTGTTCGATGAGAAGCGTTCGTGGGATTGGAATGCTCAAGAAAAGGAGCATTACACATTCTACCCGTTTGAGGCTGCAACTAAGGAAATTGAAGAGGAGCCCGTAGATGAAGTAACTCCACCATCATCACCTGCATCTTCTTCCGAGGGTGAAAGTTCGAGTAGTGAAGGACCTCGAAAGACAAGGTCTCTACATGAGATTTATGATCAACTCAATCACAATTCAAACTTATTCTGTTTGTTTGTTGATACGGAGCCTATCAACTTTGAGGAGGCATCGAAAAGCAAGGAAATTACATCTTTGACTTGATTAAAATCTGATTCACAACAACTTGTTGAATTTGAAAAATCTCTCTCACATGACATGACAGAAAAAAATGTCAACTATGTAACTCTTTGCTTCGTTCCATTTTCCACTAGTTTATGTTTCTTCAATCTTGATTCCCTCAAACAATGAGTTTTTTTATTCCGTTATTGTCGAAATCCATGTCATCCACTTTCTCTCTCTACTCTCTCTCTACATTTGTTTATAGAGAGTAGAGAGAGAGAGAGAGTTATGCCCTTCACCACTTCCCCCAAATGGCCGCCGACGACGACGATAACCCCAAACCCGAATCCAATTGCATCACCCAATCGGAGCTCCGCTCCGAATTCTCCCACCACGACCCGACAATCGCCCGGATCAACAACGGCAGCTTCGGCTGCTGCCCCGCCACCATCATCGCCGCCCAGCAGCGCCACCACCTCCTCCTCCTCCGCCAGCCCGACTACTACCACGCCAAGCTCCTCAAACCCTCAATCCTCCACTCCCGCCGCCTCATCCAAACCCTAATCAACGCCGACCACGTCGACGAGATCTCCATCGTCGACAACGCCACCACCGCCGCCGTCGTCCTCCAGCACACCACCAGCTCCTTCTCCCTCTCCTCCAACTTCCGCCCCGGCGACGCCGCCCTCATCCTCCACTACGCCTACGGCGCCGTCAAAAAATCCGTCCAGGCCTACATCACCCGCGCCGGCGGCCACGTCATCGAGGTCCACCTCCCCTTCCCGGTCAAATCCGCCTCCGAGATCGTCCTCGAATTCCGCAAAGCCCTCCGTACCGGCAAATCGAACGGCCGGAAAATCCGGCTCGCCGTAATCGACCACATCACCTCAATGCCCTGCGTAATAATCCCCGTCAAGGAACTCGTCCAAATCTGCCGGAACGAAGGCGTAGACACGATATTCATCGACGGGGTCCACGCAATCGGAAACCTCCCGATCGATGTGAAATCCATCGGCGCGGACTTCTACACGAGCAACCTCCACAAGTGGCTGTTCTGCCCACCGTCCGCCGCTTTCTTGTACTCCAAGCAAACATCCGACGAACTAATGGACACAGCCACCGCCTGGATGGGCACACGAGACTACAGCGCGCAGCTCGTCCTGCCCGATGTGATCGAATTCGTAAACAGATTCGACGGGGGCATTTCGGGAATAATGAAACGAAACCACGATAAGGCTGCTTAAAAGCGTGGAGGTACATGATGTCAGCTGAGCTCCCACCGTCCACTAATATCTTCTTGACCAAGAAGTTGGCCACCGTTGTTGTTACTACTAATGCATCGACATGGTCTTCATCTGGACCTTCAAGGTCGGATGAGTTGAAGACTATGCTGTGATCAGGTCTTCGTATTTGATATATGCGTGCGGATGGAGAAGCACGTTCTTGATTCATGCGTGCTGATCGAGCGAGGGTGCGTCTTGCATTTTGTGAATCGCCACCCGCCGATCCTCCGGAGATAAAGGAGATGATTCCCCGGGTAGGTTGGTTATCGTTGTTATCTGGGTCACGTCGATGACCCCCCTCATCTCGTCTTTGCTGTTGATCTCGATTATTATCTCGGCGTGGAGGATCATCACGGCGCTTATTTCGAGGTATATCAATGTATTCGCCTAAATGACCCTGTTTGATCAGCCTCTCAATCGCCACTTTGAGTTGTGCACATTCCTCCGTAGTATGCCCTCTGTCCTTGTGGAATCGACAATAACGATCCGACTTTTCTCGCTTTGCATTTGGCTGCATAGGACGTGGAGGCTCTGCTAAACCTTTCTGTTCTATCACGCGAAGGATTTCCGTGAGGCGAGTGTTTAGCGGAGTAAACCTATTGTAGGAGGAAGAGGGTTGGCCTTGAGGTGGAAGTGGTGGACGTCGATCATCGCGCCTCCTATTGTCCTGACGGTCATCTTCCCTTTTCCTTTTAGGAGGGGCATGGGTAGAGGCTTCCTCTATCCGGACGTATTTTTCGGCTCGATTCAGCAACTCCTCTAGGTTGCCTGGGGGTCTTCCGGCGATAGATTCTTTGAATCTACCCGGTTTCAAGTTCTGCTGCATAATCCCGGAGAGCATGTCTTGTCTTACACTGGGGACTTCATAGACGGCTTCTACGAAACGCTTAATGTAGTTGCGGACCGTTTCGTTATCTCTCTGTACTACAGAGAAAAGATGAGCTGGGGTCTTGGCATATTGTTTGTTGATGGCGAATTGGTTGGTAAACCGGGTTGACAACCGGGCGAAGGTGTCAATCGACCCTATGGGTAGAGAGTTGAACCAATTCATTGCCCTCTTGGAGAGAGTGGTGCGGAACATTTTGCACATCGCAGCATCCGTCGGGCCATATAAATCCGCCATGGCGCTGAATTTCACTATATGCTCCTGTAGGTCGGTGGTCCCTTCAAATTGAGGTAACCCCGAGATCTTTACTCCTTGAGGTAATACCTCGTTGAGAATGTCTATGGTGAAGGGACTGCGTCTTGTTGGGACAGGCATTCTTTCACCCATTAGATTATTTGGTTGGGGGAAAAGATTTTGACGAGACATTCTGCTGTTTACCTCGCCTTCTCCCTCATTAAAGAGAGGGACTCTCTGTGGTGACGCATTCCCCCGTGGGGGTGAGCGTCGACGCTGCTGTCTGGGCTGTGCCCCTATGTGATTAGTAGATAGCTGCACTCGGGACCGTGGGTCCGAGGTAGAGGAGGAGACACTTATTTGATTTTGGATTGGCGGTGGGGCCACAGGTGGCGCTATAGGTGGAGCTGGCGCTGGTATCGCATTGGGAGCGTTTGCTCCCATCGTGGCGATATATTGAGTTACGGCCTCCATGGCGGCGCGAGTTGAGGCTTCTGCTATCATGCGTTGGAGAAACAAAGCCAAATAGCAAATTACTCCACAGCGGCAGCAACTTCCCCTCAATATTATTTAAATAGTTTCCAATATTCTTGCAGTGCACACTTCATCCTATGTTTCTCTTTTTCTTGTTTCTCATTTGCTGCATACAAGAAATGTCCATCCCATTTATATGAACACATATATGTAATGTTGCATCACATATGATAAATTTAATATATGGAAGATAAACCAAAAAGTTACAAGAGGTCTACAAATTTGAGGGTCCGTACAAAAAAGTAAATTTGACCATGCTTCACGATCCAACTCTTAAAAAATCGAGAAACACAAGAGGGTATAACCTGAAAAAACTGAGAGAAATACCAAATTAATTGAATTTAATTGGCGCTCAAACCACTAACTAAGACCCTTGAGTTTCTTTTGTTTAATCATTTATTTTAGATTGTTACAGATTAGAAGTTTTAGAGCCGATTAACAGGGTATATCAATAGACAATTTAATTCCGAAAAATGAATTTGGATCGTGTGACTTTGAATTATAAATACATGCATGGTAGTTTTAATCTCATTAATACAATGAACCGTATGAAGTTAATTATTACTATTATTATTATTATTATATTTGTTGTATATTAATTGATAACTAAATTATGTAATTTTCCGTCAAAGTTTATATGTAAAAGCAATTTAGTGAGGGCATTTTTGTACAAATAAAAAATTGAAGAAATCCCATCCACATTCATCCTTTTATAAGCAGTATAGATAGATAGATATAGATATAGAATATGCATGTGAAAGAGCCCGTGTTTATAGCAATCAGCAGGAGTGGTATCTGCTAGAAAACAAAAGTCAAACATTTATGTTTGTCAGATTAGCTTGCAGTTGTATATATCTTCTCTTCAATATTACTGTAATTAGGAGAGATTGATGATTTGCTCGAATATATGAGTTGGTTTTCTAACTTTTCAATAATTACATCGGTATTTGAAAACATTGAGCTCAACTTTTGTTTGTCTACTGCAGTAACTGATACAACTTTGTGTATATTTTTCAATATGTTTCCTTTTATTTTACATTTTCTCCCCGTCGGGACCAAATGTAGTGTCTACGACGGTGAATATGTATCCGCATGTGTCTGTTAACTATCAATCCTTAATCTAATTGTGGTATCCACTGCGGTCGAATGTCTGAATCTCTTCGAATGAGTACACAATCGAACCTCGATGAATTAATAACCTCGATTAAATAATAGTTTCTCTCAGTCCCGACTGGGGTGAAAACGTATTTAATTATTAACTCGCTAAATTAATAGAATTTTCCTAGTCCCGACAGTATTAATTTATAGAGGTTTAACTGTATTGTAATGGCCAATTACAAGACCATTTCATTTTTTTCGTTTTGAAAAGAAAATGATGCAATTGCCTGATATAAAGCTACTAGAAAAATAAATAAAAAAGGTATGGATTTAAAGGTGTTTTCCGATTCCCTTGTAACACGCCCAGTAACTCTTGATGTTATGTGCAATTGTTAATAGTATCTAACGTATAAAATATGGATCCAATGTAACAGTGTTTGATGCAAATAGTAAATGTAAAAAAAGCAGAGTCGCGAACATATCTGACCGCTTATGTTGTCTCCCCAAGCATCTAATATAACTCTGATCACGAAAACGAGAATTATCATATGTTTATAGAAAAATAGAATTGTCAGTTTCGAGAACCATTTATTGGTCCATTTTGTTGGGATCCGACTTAATAAGATAGTTACCTTGTTGAAGTATCTCTCACATTGTGCGGACCAGTTCCAACGGTACACTTTCCATTGCCACCTAAATTTGAAGAACAAGGACATAAATGAATACAGTTAAACCTCTATAAATTAATTCAGTCGGGACTAGGGAAATTCTATTAATGTAGCGAATTATTAAATTATCGAGTTAATAATTTGACACGTTATCACCGAAACTATTATTTAATCAAGGTTATTAATTTATCGAGTATTAATTTATTGAGGCTCTACTGTATATGCATTCTCAAAAATAAAGCAGAGTATGCAGTTGCTAATGCCAATAAATAGGCAATAAATATAAAAGTTCGGTACATACCCATGATTTTGGAGCTTTTGGGTCGGCGACTTTCTTGTGTTTCTTAGATTGATCCGACAGGAAAGTAATTACGATGCTGACCTTGAACTCTATCGAAAATGGACTGCAAAGGAGGAGTTCACATAGTAAGTACAAATTGACATACGTAGTCAAAATGCAAATAAGTTGAACATCCAATAGTTTATCTACTACCTTAAATTATTCTAGATTGTTTACATTCGTGGTTGAAGCATGCATACTGATGGTGCTATTACTTAGATTACCTATAGTAGGGTAATAAATGAGCTAGGGGAGTAAAAGCGGATCAGTAGCTAGCAACTTGATGATCCTGAAGTCCCTGCGAAATGAACACACGTGAACTAAGCTGGGGGTTGATCCGGCGGAAACCTTTCCGCCGCTCAAGTCAGATGTACGGATAGTGGAGATGGTTGAGAAAATAAAACTCTAGATTACTTGTGAATCATAAAACGTACATTAACAAATAAATAAAACCTCTATTTATATGTCGTTGATTGGGTTGGGTTTACTTTGTTGGGCCAAACCTTATTTTGAAGGTGCTTGGGCTTTCGTGTAGTGGGCCCAATTATTAGATAAATTGGGGGCCCATTGGATCGGCCCAATTAGGTATATCATTAAGCTCCCAACTCTCGAGTCGAGACGGGAGACTTGTCGAGGGGAATCCGGCTCGTGTCGAGAGTTAATTGTGTCTTTGCTTGACGAGTTTCCATTGGCGTTGAATTAATCTCATTAATTAAAGAAGAGATAATTGTATTTATTTGGCAGCGAGGTATATATTTAAGGGTTTTAAATAATATAATAGGGCCAGATAAATAGACTTCTTTTGCGGTGGAAAGAATTAAATTCCAACTCCTGTGGAATAAATATGGGTAAGTATTTTTAACTTTGGGTCTTCTTCCGTGCTCTTGCTTCTCTAAATTTTTTTTGTGGTAGAGTAGAATTTTTTTGTTTCTTGATTGTTTCTTCGAAGAAAAATATTTACCAGGTCGAACCCGGGTAAGTCGAAATCTTTGCGAATTAAAATTTGAGATCCGGTTGAAGGGGGCGAGAAAACTTTTGGTACCGTTAGTATGGAACGCGAGAAGGTTGTAGTATCGGGTGCGAAAATTGGATCGTCGACCGGTGGTTTACGAATCGGAGGGTGGGAGGCAGAGGTTGGTGGCAGCGACGGCTCAGCTAGAGCCATCGGCTCGGACCGAGCTGCCACCAACGGGTTATAATGTGTAGGCGCGAAGCCCGAGGTCTCTATTGGAGGAGGCGGCGCGGCTGGGCGGTGCGGCTCGGCGGCTTGCACATCAACCGAGGAGAGGAGAGAAGGTAGGCAGCCAGCTGGACCAGTGGAGGAACGACGCGCGCGCGCGTCAGGCACAGTGGCCGAGGTACGCGCGAGCGCGTTTGTGGTGGGGAACGAGGAACGCGCGCGCGCGTCGGGCGTGGAGGGACGCGCGCGCGCGATTGGTGCGTGTGAGGGAGGCTCGCATGTCGGTGGTGGGCAATTGGCGGCACAAGCGCACGTCTGGCGTGCTCCCCAGTGGCGACGCGCGCGCGTCAGCGGGGGCGGGGCTGGGTTCTGCCGCGCGTGGCGGTGTTGGCCGAAAACCTACACGCAAGTGCACGTATCGTACAAGTTATATAGTGGACGATTAAGTCTGGATATCGAACCCACAGAGAATATTTAATTACTTAATCCTAGACGCTAAATTCTACCAATTGCTATGAAGCCCACCCTACACAGTCGACTTTAGAGAGAATTAACTAAATTAAAATAAATTAAAAAGCAAATAAAAAAGACAATAGCACGAAAGCAATTAAAAACGAAGGTTTAATCAGAGTAAACAAGCCTAGGATTTTATTCTTCCCCCTATGTGATTATTACTTCCCCAATTCCTTCAATTATGCAAGCAATTAACCCGGATTATTTACCTGAGATGCTAAAATAATCATAACCCGCTTCCGCGTGTATTACGATTCTACTACTCTAGATTCAATTACTATATTCCTATGCAATTAATTCTACAACACAACATTAAGCACAAATCTCAATAATGGCTACCTAAGAGATTAACTATATTCCTATGTTAATACCACAAAGGCTCTTCTACCACAGTTCTAATTATTAACCCGATCTTCCGATTCATGCGATTAACAATAACATAAAAGCACATAAGTTGATCAAGTTCATGCACTTAATAAAACAAGTAGAAGAAATAATCCGGAATTAAAACTTGCATAAAATCATGGAAAAGGGTTCATAAATCCCACATAGGGTTCCAAATAAAATCCTAGAAATAAGTAATTTAGCTACTCATGATTAAAGGAAAAACGCAAATAAAATAAGTCATAAACGATAAATCTATGCTTAGAGTCTTCGAATTCTTCGTCTTCGTTATTGCTTTGTTGCTCTCCAAATTGCGTAAAAGAGATCCCCAATTGTGTGCTTGGGTTGGTCTTATATAGGGTGAAGAACTTGGGGAAGAAGGCAGTTTCCTTGTGCAATTAAAATCCCTTTACTGCGCAACTTCGGAGTCTCGGACGGGGTCCCACAATTTGCACTAAAACTGGGACGGGGTCCGGGCTTTAAATCTTCAGAATTTTGATATTTTCACTTTGGACCCATATTTTCGCCAAAATTGCAGTTTTGACCCCATACTTTTCCAATTCTTCAATTTGTACCTAAAATACAATAAATCAACTTTTTAAGCACCAATTATCGTTAAAACACACCAAAAGCTCAAATAAAAAGATACGATAAAGTGTAAAAATATACACTTAACACACACCAAAACTTGAACTTTTGCTTGTCCTCAAGCAAAATCTACCAATAAGCAAATAACTCAACAATAACATCTCATCACATAGATCAATGATCAACTTCACGTTTTCAGAACTTGTAATTATAATGACAATTCTTAGGCATTCGCAAGCTCAAAATTGAACAACACTTAGTCACTCACCATTACCAAAAACCACAATTCATACAATTGTTTCAAGCATCCAATATTTGCAAATTAAAGATAGAAAGAATTTATACTTACATGCATATGCTTGACTCCAAATACTCACCAAATTATTCTACTCTACTAATATCGAACATTAAGCTATTGGGATCATTGGGGCTTTGTGGCTTTCAATTGTTAGGCTCTTTGGTTCGAGGTAGGAAATATGGGTATATGTGGCTATTCTTCTTGAATTTAGGTGATTACGCCAAAATTTGAAAGATAGGCGTTTGAAACAATGAATTCACCTCTACGGACTTTAGTAAACTCGATTCTCAAAAGTTCAAAAGTCTCCACTTTTGCTTTTGAGGCAAGGGATCGAGTTCTCAAAGATAATTCAACAACTAGTCCTTATTTCTTCTCCCTTCTAGTCTCTTCTTCTTCTTCTTCTTTTTCTCTTTTTTTTTTTTTTTTTTTTTTTTTTTTTTATTATATATATATATATATATAGAAGCATAGATATTTGCCTTCTTTTCGTTTTTTTTTTTTCATTTTTTTTTTCGAAGAACAAGAAGGACCTTATAAAAATTTCCGACCGATCTCCAAGGGGTAATTTTCAAGAATCTCCACCAATTCTACCTCACACATTGGCTAAAAGAAAGAACACCTTTTCTCCGAGGCTCAAATCAAGGTTCTAAGGATAATTTCGATAAAAAGGTCGGCTTGAAAGGCTCAAACGGTTCAAAGAAGGCCCAAATCATATCTCAAATCACTCACTACTCAATACTTCGTATCATAAATTTCCTAAGGTGAGTTCTAAAACCGAACATAGCATGATCTAGCACAAATTAATTCCAAATTTAAAATACAAAACGTTCAACCAAAGCAATGCACAAAATGTGATTCCTAGCAATAATTCGCTTCTAAGTCCCGTTGAATCGAAAGCTAAACAAACATCAAGTCCTTATCACACAAAACAAGCAATCTCATCATAAAAAATTGATCATCTCTCATCATCACAAATCATCGATGCATTCGACTCAAGCAAATCTTTTTTTTTTTATATTTATATTCCGGAAAAAACGAGAAAAACAATAAAAACGAATACAACTTAATGCATGCAAACTAAAACAAATAAGCACAAAAATAACATGTTTTTCACCCCCAAACTTAAAATTTTCGTTGCCCTCAACGAATTTAGCACAAAGTTTAAGGATAGAAAACACCTGATTTAGTCGGAGTCGATGTGATCGGGGTGCTCCTCCCTAGCTCTCTCACGCTCGTCCTCATTGGGCGGTGGCACTTTTCTTTCCCTTTTCCTCCCTTTGGAAGATGATGCTTCGCTCGTGCGGCCTCGTTTGTTGGACGACATAGTTGGGAGAGAGGTTGGAATATATTCGGTGAGAATTGGTTAACAATCGAACTCAAAATTTGGTTGGAGCAAATTGTCGAACACCTTGTGGGCGTGCCTTGAAAGAGTAGATCTTGAAGAATTTGGTTCGATTCTCTAGCCTCCATTTGTGTGTGGAAGTTTGAGAGAAGGAAAGAGGAGGGTTTAGGAAATAATGGGGGAGAAAATCTAATTTTTTTAAAGTTAAAACGCCCCAAAACTAGTCGGACGGCCGTCCCGGGTTTTGTGCTGATTTTCGGACGGCCGTCCGACATTTTTTTCCTCTTCCTAGTTGTGGGACGGCCGTCCCACATTTACACATATTTTTGGGACGGCCGTCTCATAGACAGAGATGACAATTTGATCGTTCTGTTTCCCAGACGGCCGTCCGGGATTTTGCTTGCAATTTCGGACGGCCGTCTCGACCCCCTGACCATGTTTTCGACCTTGAAAAGTAAAATTCAAATAGATTAAATAGAATGCATGCCTATGGCGATAAAAATGAAACGAAAAATTAAAGAAAACTACGAAAACATAAAGCTCGGGTTGCCTCCCGAGAAGCGCTAAGTTTAAAGTCTTTAGCCGGACGTTGCTTCTTTATTTTCAAGCAAAAGCGACCGAAGTCACTTGGCAATCTTCACTCGCTTCCCAATACGGTTTGAGCCGGCTCCGCTTCACGTTGAACGTACGATTTGAATCTCGCTCCTTTATTTTGACCACCTCGTTAGGAAGAATTTCTTGGACAATAAACGGCCGCGACCACTTTGATTTGCCCTTCCTTGGAAATAACCAAAGACGGGATTTGCACAATAACACCAATTGTCCTTTGTGCAATTCCTTTTTGATTTTCTCCTTACGACCACAATAGCTTGACTCATCTTTCTCTCGTCACTTGCTCGAGTCTTTGGGTGGCAACATCTTCCTTGCATTCTCATCGTCGTTAAGACCTCGACTCGTATGACTTTCTCTCGGAGGATTTAAAAGCGAGTCCATGAAATAAACTTGCTCCGTCCAAT